ACAGAAATCTTCTCAGACTGACCACTAGTTCCCAGGCACAGCTATTCACTCTCTTCTGGAATGTTTAGGGATGTGCCAGCTTTCTCCGCTTATCTCCAGAGCGTTGCTCTGGAGACGAGAGCACCGTTTTCACCCCCCTTCCTCCATTCCAGTCCATCACACAGATTTTTTATACATTTTTTAAGTTAGCGAATTTTAGGTACCTTGATTCAAAAATTGTTGCAGTATAATGCACTGTTTGGGCTAACATGAGGGTACAAACAGATAAACACAATGAGAGTTTTAGTCATGTGTACACATACACACACACACACACAGGTAGATAGATTTCAGGTAGAAGACATTTGTAAAAGGAGACAGCATTTTCAAATATCTGGGCATTTTTCTTGTGGTTCACTATGAAGGTGACAGTTTTCACAACTCCCAGCAAAAATTCTATAATTTGGAAATGGCCCAAATATGTGTCCAGAGAAATACAACTAAAATTCCGTAATGCCTTATAAATGGCAATGGAAATGAGACAAATAACCCCACATTCCTAGCCACTGATAAACCATTTCTTCTCACTACTGTAGAGGGAAGAGGGAATGGCCTTGAAGGATAGGAGCAACAATCAGATAAAAGAGGCCTGAGCCTGGGCCAAGAAAGTGAGAAAGAAAATGTCTCAGACAGCTTTTCCCTAATTCACACGAAGATAAAGGGAGAGAGGGGAAAGCACATTCAGACTTGCAAGTTTCTGTTACTATAGTTGTTACAATAAAAGTAGTCCTATGGCATTGGCTTCTCAGTCTGGGCTACCTTGTAGGGCTGAGACTCCTCGGGTAAACAAGCTCCATTATTCCCCATTTCATAAAGTTGAGACAGTGACTTGGGTGAGTCCTGAACTTTCTTTCAAGGCTCAATTTATTTTATGAGACTGACTTGCATTACCCTCATCCATTGGCTGCTTAAAAGCTAAAGGAATGTGAATTTATACATCTCACTCTGTTTCCCAGCAGACAGGTGTCTACATCACCACACCCCCACCTCAGTCAACATTATCTGGCACCCTATCTGGAAATCCCAGCTGAGTCCAAGGTATGGACTGTGGAGAATGTTCTAACACCATCTCTTTTGTCAATGAACATGTGGTCCATATCTTCCTTAGGTTAAAGTAAAGGTGGAGATGGGATAAACGTGTAGGAAAAAAATGGCTTATGGCAATCATTTGAGATGCTGCTTTTCACAGAAAAAAGATTTTCCTATATTTGCTGCTACCTAGGAATATTGGTTGCTGTATGAAGAACAGGGGCCCTATTGTTGTGGGGAAGTGTAATACAGCCAGAAAAGGGATCCCACCAGGAAGGATTCAAGATCCAGATCTGGTCGGGCCCACTTTGAAAAGAAGATGAAACACAAATAAAAGCTGAAGTGAGAGGTAACACAGGGATACAAAGAAAAACTACAAATGCCACAATGGATGGATGAGTTTGAAGCTCAGTTAGCCTATTTTACTTCAATGACTCCTGCAGGCTATCAAGGATGGCTTCATTTTAATATTTTGTGTATGTGCTAGAATGGCTAAGGTCAGTTTGTGAAAAAGATTCTGCTCTGCCTGTGCATACTTTATAATTTTCTGGCTGAAGCATGTCTGTCACTAATCTCTCATACTTTTGTTACATCACATCATATTATGGATATATATGCTATAACTAATTTAACATTGGCTAGTGTAAGCAGCCTGAGACCTTTGGGCTGAATAGTGCCAAGGCTTTCCCCATAATATGATTAGGCCCAATTTATCTCATTGTGTATCAATTTACTTATGGACTCATTCTTTTGTGGGAAATGATCCTTGAAAGGGTGCTAACATGGGCCAGATGTAAGCTACAAAAGGTGCATTGCTTAAATCCGTGCTAGGTTATTGTAGTGTAACTGATTCTGACTACCCATTTCAGGAAATGGCCGATAACATGTGTAACGGAGGACCACATCTAATTTACAATGGAAGAGCATACTAAAAGATTTACAACGTTTAAAGAACAACTACAGTTAGGATTTTCTTCAAGGGAAAATCAAGAAGCCCACAGCTTGGAGAGAAGGTCCTAAAATATTATGGCTCTTACTTGCAATAATTTCACAATTTCAAAACAACAACAGCACAGTCACATTTTCTTTCCGAGGTTTGCTTTGGTTCCCATTAACAGAAGATATATAATTGCACATTTTGAAGAGAAGTATTACCACATCTATTTTTTTTTTGTCTGAGTAATTTTAATGGCTGTGATAATATATGAAGCAGACTTTTCAGACTTTGCTCAGACTTTCTTTAGGAATGACTTCTTGATTTGGAAAAAAGTCCCACGGCTATAAAAAAGATAAGAGGGTTTAAATAATGGATTGCACGCTAACAGGAAGAGAATCTGGACTTGAAAATGTTGTCTTTCCTATGCAGAGTCGAATGAATGAATTATGAGCATACTGCACCTGCACTGGTGTCTGTGTTTTGAAAGACAGGATGATTTAAGAATGCTATGAGGTCAAATAATGCCTTGCTGTAAAGAAACTGTAAATATTTCCAATTTATGAAGTATATTTCATAATTTGTTCATAAAAGATGTGAAATAAAATGAAACATAAGGATTGGATTATTTCTTTTAATCATCCTAGAACAATTTTTACAATGATCTACAAATCCAAGGGAGACACCAGAACAAGGGTGAGTTGTAACTCTCAAGCAAGTTTAAGGCAAGTGCTCAGAAAACATTCAAATCCTCTTTATTTAATCACAGCTCATATATTGTTGTCGCTTTACTGAATTTGCATCCCTTAGCAAATGAACATTTGTCACCAATATAATGCATTAGAAATAAGCATAATATATTCCATCCTGTACAATACTATTCCCTTGCATAGTCAACTGAGGTACCCACCAATCACCATAGTCATACAAAGAGTAGATACACAGAAGCATGGAACTTCTTATAAATTACAGATTTCCTCGTACAAACAAAAATATATGGTTCAAATAGTTTTTCTTTGTTTAAAATCTAACATACGTACATTGCATTAAGAAACAATATAAGCAGCAAGATGTCTTTACTTAAATTACTAGATATATTTATCCTAAGAACACTGCTGACGCATATATGCAAAAGAAGGATGATATAAAGTTTTTGCCTGAACCCAGACCCGTTGGTAAGGCTGTCCAAGGTGCCAACTAGAGAAACTAGGGTCAAGAAAGTTTCTGTTTTGTCCCCTGAGGTAAAGCTTCCTATTGGAATGGTGGTCAACACATCCTGGGTATGGAAAGAGCTTCTATAGGATGTGGTATATTTATGCTGATATATAATGGAGTGCCCCATGTCCTGCTTCCAGTAAAATGTATAAGATGAATTTGTGAAATCCACCTTTGCACTGTACAGTTCCAAAGAGAGCTAAGAGTAATATGGTTAACCTAACAAGGATCTAGCAAGGCTGGTCTTCAGTAACCAGACTTGTAGGTGTTGGGAGGTAGAATTTAGAATTTCACTTTTTGTTCTTTCTGTGGCCATATCTTGTCTTATCCCCCACAATCCAAGCCATAGTATATCTATTTCCTACAGTGAGCACTCTGAAAGCCCATAAACAAAAATGAACCCAGAACCTTTATCCAGCAAATAAGGAAGAACAAAGATGTATACCTGATGCTTCAAGGGTGCATGCTCCCTCACAAAGTTGTAGAGGACCCAGGGACCTGCAAAAATAGTTACCAAACTTGGTAATGTTTAGAATAATAGAATGGGATAATCACCAAATGCATGACGGTAGAAAGCCAGTTTGGTGGAGTGGCTATGGTAACAGGCTAGAAACCAGGACACTCTGAGTTCTAGTCCCATCTTTGGCACGAAGCCAGCAGGGTGACCTTGGGCCAATCTCTCTTTCTCAGCCCTAGAAAGCAGGCAAGGGCAAACCACTTCTGAAAAACCTTCCAAGAAAACAGCAGGGACTTATCCAGGCAGCCGCCAGGAGTCAACACTGACTCAGAGACGATAGATAGATAGATAGATAGATAGATAGATAGATAGATAGATAGATAGATAGATAGATAGATAGATAGATGAAAATGAGAATTATGTAAATGGAATGAAAATTTTGTCCTGGCTCTCATCTATATCATTCCAAACCACCACCACCACCACCACTTCACAAGTCATCAGGTCTAGGAGCATGGGATATTTGTATCCCCCACTCCTCTTTTTCTAATTTCCTCTTAAAGCCATGGAAATCTGACTACCAGAGCACATCTTGTATTAGTAAATGCCAGTATTGAACAATGGGCATTGTGAAATTTAGTTCTCCTGAATCTTCCACTGCTCAGCTTTACTGGATGTTTCAATATTATGAGAAAGAGAAATAGTGTTCATGCAGATATATAGTACATTTACTATATTTGCCTCTTCTGATATTTTTTAAATTAAAAATATCCTCCATATTTCTCATAGGGTGATTGCCCCAGAATCCAAACCCTTGCATCCATGTGACAAGTTGCAAAGACCCATGATGTCTCTTCCATTTCTCTGCTGGTTGGGTCAGAAGTCACCAAGTTTATGGAGTTCTATCTCTTTCCAGCTTAGTTATTGCAGGGCTTCCTATCTCAGCACCACTGCTGCTACATTGGGGAACCACTGTCCTTTGAACAACACTTGGAATGTTTAAAATTGTTTATGGAGAAAAGATGATCTGGCCTGCGCCCAGATTGTGGATTGCAATGGCACAGATGCTATTACTTTTCAGGACACACAAATCTTACTATGTACAGTATATATTTGTAGAAGCAGGATATGGGCCAAGGACAATAAACTCTGAGTACGTATAATTAAATTACTTTTTCAGACATTGCTGCCAAGTTCATAGAATATAGACAAGTAGGCAAAAGACTTTGTAATACATCTGGGCTTAGCATGGAGACCTTTGCCAAACTAGAAGCTGCCAAAAATAACGTTCACGTGACACCTTTTCATTAAATTTAGAAGCATCAGTGTTTGATAAGAATATTGTTGGAATTTTATTGAATATCTTCCCCATTTCTAGAAACGTAATATTATCCTCTCCTTTATTAAAAATAATAAGCATATTTTATTGGCATGGCAAGTATAATCTATACTGTGAAGGGAAAGGGAGGCAAGGAAACCAACTAAGGTCTCTACTTCTGCTATCAAGTGAACATCTTTTTTTCCCAACTTACCTCAATTAAAATAAGCCCCTTATCACTTGTTGGCATCTTCCATTGACTTTATCCACTTCTGATCAGACAGTATGGCATGAAGTGAAAGCAGGAATGGATCTCATGCATTTTCTTGTCCATATCAGTCATGCAGTAATCGGAGGGAGAGAGAGAAAGAGAGAGACTAATCTCTTTGCTGCAGAACAATTTACATCTGTTTCTATATATAGCTTTTCCTTATGTATGCCTTTTCATATACAACCTAATGTACACATCCTTATACATCTTTGGAGTTGATTACATTGTGCACATATGAATTTTGCAATCTGATAAATACAAATTAAAAGCAATTTACTTAAAAATATTTATCAAATAAATTCCCTCTCCCACTCTTAGGTAAAAAAATTAAAATATTAGGTAAAAAAATAAAAATATTAGGTGAATCCACAAATGTATTGCTTATATACCTTCAGTGTGGCTCCTCAAAGCTATTCTAAAATTTGTGGCTGACATTAATTTAACTTAAACAAAATTACATATGATTCTTAGCTTCCCCCTTCCCTCACTTTTTTGTCCTGGTCCCCAAACTGCAGAGATGGCACAAACTTTTTCACACCTTTGATCTAACTCTTATTTAGATTCTTCCCTACTTTGGTCAAGTCCTAGCCAGAATAATAAAATTATTTCAGTCCATCTAATCCTTTGTGTAACTTTTTGCATTCAACTCAGTTCTTTTTCTCCCTGGAATCTGAGTTTTTTGCCAGTCTGCCCTGTCTTTTTTTTTTTTTCTTCCAATTTTTAATTCCTGAATTAACTAATTGCCTGGCAGTATTCCAGCTCTCCCTCCTGGAATTTGGGCAATCAGAAGGAAGTGGAATATAACTAGTTAATTTCAAATGCTGGACTTAATTGTCTTAGGTACTGTCTCTCTACAGATGCAATTTTATTGCAGGAATTTTTAAAAAAAGTGTTTAAGCAAAAATAATTAAATGAGCATCTATAATTATGAACATGCTCAGCAATTTATTTTTATGAACATGCCCAGCACATACTCCTAACTAGAGGCAAGGATGTTGCACCAACTGTTGTCACCCTGTGAATGACTCAACATTGACATTGGCCTCTTTGGGTAATCATCTGAAATCTTCTTGGTTGGAGAGCCCTAGACTTTGACCCCAAGGTCCAGCTATAAATGCATCACTGCTAGAATGACCCATATAATAGTTATCATCCTATTTAGGTTTCCTGGGATGCCTACAAAGCAATGGTGAATTTGCCCTCATTTGCTGTATTTGTTCAAGCACAAGTCATCAGGGATGCTAAAATGAAACAAAAAAACTCCCCCCTCCCAAGCACAGCTATTTCCCTTCTGATCTGCTTGGGGGCACCACTTCCTAGATCAGTGTTGTCTAAACTTGGCCACTTTAAGATGAGTAGACTTCAACTCCCAGAATTCCCCAGCCAGCATTCCCCAACCAGCCAACTCTGGGAGTTGAAGTCCACTCATCTTAAAGTGGCCAAGTTTGGACAACACTGTCCTAGATAATTGGTTTCACTCTTAAGCTATACTAACTGTCTTGAATAGGAAGATCTTATTATCTTGCATATGAGTCAGAAATTCCCACACATTTTTTTTAAACTATGGCTATAAAAACAAGGTATTCAGTAACACATCAATAAGTTTGAGTTTTAAATGTTTTATGTAACATTTATCAATTATTTTATTTGAATCAAAATAATAGAGGGATGCATCATTGATGAAGATAAGGCCAAATGTAGATTATATTTGTACTTTGCTTATTTGGATCTTTTGGCTTCAGATAAAACTAATAGGAAGACCTTTGTAATAGTCATCCAAATTATTCTGCACGAGTCAGAAATTCCCACAGACATCTCCCATTCCTAAAGCAAAGATGATAAGTAAGTAAATAATTCATCTTTAGCTACTCTTTCACAGTACCCAAAACTTGCTGCCCAAGGCGAGTGCTGCCCTCTTCTTAACTGCAGGGCCACACATGTGAGGTACCCAGATTGCTCCATTGGGAAACAAGTAGTTGAAGAAGATAGGCTTTCAGCATGATCCAGGATGGTTATGTTTTAATGACTGCTTCATTTTAATGATATATGATATTTGACACTTTTGTGAAGCACTCAAACCTGGAAAAAGCTGGATAGAAAGACTTTATGTAAATAAAAAAGGCCAGCAGGTTCACTTTTCAACATTGTGTGAATTGGTCCTAAGCTGCTGATTGCCATTCTAGTCAAAGCTAGTCTACAAAAGGGTTAATCAAATAAGTTTCAATGTGTCAGAATGATCTGAAAAATTCTCTTCCTGGTGTATATTAACATTTAGACAGGCTGTAGAATATTTATGCCTGATGACTGATGGAAAATGAGTTATGTATTTTCATGAGGCAAG